TGCCTATTTCGAATTCAAAATGAGTCCCCCACTGCCCCCTCTACTTTCCCGCCCCTGTTGGTACCCGACTTTGCACCCCCCCCCCCCCCCCCAGGATCGGAATAGCTCGGTAGCGCCCTAGAAAAATTGTGCTCGGGGGCCCTGTTTTACCCCTTGGCCGAACATGTTCGGTTCCCGCTCGGGCAAGCGTCCGAACATGTTCGGATGCTCAGTGGGGCGCCAAACATGTTCGGCGTGCTACGCAAGTAGTAACCTATTCAACAAAGGGCCTCATGAAATAGGCTACATTTTAGAATAAAAATGAGAAGTTTGAGACAAATGTAAAGGGCCTAATGAATAGAACATTGATCTTACTGTTGTTCCTGCACCGATATTGTAGGCAAGGGACATGATCTATTATCAAACCACGTAGTTGGATCTGTGTTGCCAGTCATTACCAGGGCCAGGCGTCTGATATGTTCCCAAGCCAACACACAATATGGAGTCTGAGGGTTCAAATGAAGGCGTTTAATTTATTGAATTGATATAGTTATAACCTGTGATGAGGGGTCGATGATACCCTACTCTTTGTAGTCTTAGGTTGGACCACTGATTACCATGCTCCCCTGTTAATGACCCTATTGCATTCATAATTCCCTCTTCATAGAAAAGTTGATACTTGGTGTTATAGAGCCTTTAAAGCTTTCGAAAAACAAAAACAGAAAAAAGGTGAAAAAAGTACTGGTACATGCAAAATTCTCATCTTTGCTTTCGAATGTTATGTTCAAAGGGACGTTGGATCTGGTTTCCAGCAGGTGCAGTTCCCCACCAATAAAAAGTAGTCATCAACCAGCGGGACCTGCTAAAACAAGGATGTCAAGGAATTTGTACGAACTGGACTATTCTTGAAAATTGGACTTCACCAACTTTTACATGCAAAATTAGGGGAAATATTAAATTTCGGGGGCACTAAAAGGAGTACCAAAAAAGTGTTACATAAAAAATATAAAATAATTTAAACGGCAACAACGCCCTTTCAACATTTTTTGGGTTGGAGAAAATAAGACATGTACTTTATCAAAAATTTGTCAGTTAGGCTTCAAATAAGCAAATAAAATATTTATTTTGTAAGATTTTGGGCATAAATGCTATTTCTTATTTTGGGAATGCAGTTCAAGTTCGTCCCTGTGGTGGGGTGCACGGATGGGCCTTCTGGGAAGAGCAAAGTCATAAACAGATGAACAAGCGATGAAAATATGCATTATGAGGGTTATTTGAAATAAAAAATAGCCTTGCATCGAAGAGAGAATTTATCCAAGAAAAACACAAACAACCGTAGACTTTTGCTGCGAAAGAAAGAAAAAAAAAAACGAGGGTCATTATGAGGCAGAATACTTTTCAAAAGAAAAATAATCACAATGTAAATTGACACTTCGTTTATACAGGAACTTGCATCTTTATGCGTTTAAGCATAGCCAAAGAAATGTTATCATCCTCATCTTCTGAATTTTCTCCGCTATGATGACTTTCCTGACTGCGTCTTGCATACTAATACTTAAATTGCATCACCCATAGACTTTTGCTCAAGGGAAGGGGGGGGGAAAAGAGGCACAACAAGTTTCATAAGAAAAAAAAAAAACATATAATTTGTTTACAACAACCCACCTCCTTGTGCGCATAAGCACAACCAAACAAATGGTCTCACCCTCATCCTCATCCTCCAAGAGGATGGTGACTCACCCCCTGCCCCATTCCCTCTCCCTGCACTATCTCCCCCCCTCCCGCCAAGCCCGAGCGCCCCTTCCCACCTCTCGGAACACTTTCTGCCCTCCTAGCGCCCCTCCCCCTCGGCGCCGTTTTCTCCCTTCACCCCCGCAACTCCATCCCCCTCCTTGCATCGCCTTTCCTCCCAACCCTCGTCCCCTTACCCTTGAACCCTTGTCGCCTTTCCCCCCTCCCTTGCCGTCTTGGCCCCAAAGGCGAGGCTGGGGGGAAAACGCGTCGTGAAATGGGGGAATGAGGCTGCAAGGGTGGAAAAGAAAGGAATCCGACAAAGATAAGAGGTACTTGATGTAAAGAGAAATTTGTTTTCATTTAGTGTTAAGGTTAGTTTGACAATATAACACCTCTCTCTTTACTCTGCCTCTTCCCCACACTGTGCAAGTGTGTTGTTATGGCATACGGGGATGGGGCCAGCTCCCGCTCAACTTCATCAATGTGGCGAGCCTTGTACGTGAGAGGGGCAGTGGAGGAGGAGTTAAGAAAACTGAGAAATTGAATGATTTCAATGTGTCTTTGTTTTTGACTTTTATCCTTTGTTCAATGTAAAAAAAATATAAAACACTGAAAGAAATAAGAATACACTAAAAGAAAGAAGAAGAAGACACTGTTTTTTGTCTTTTTGGTTTTTCTGTCTCCTTGCTTGTCTGTCCTTTTTTTTTTTTTTTTTTTTCCACATATCTTTTTTTTTCTTCTACTTCACATGTTTGCGGTCTTAGTCAATAGTTTTGTGATAATATATATATATATATATATATACACGGTACCCGGCGTTCGGGACGGGCCGAACGCCCGAACCCGAACGCCCGAACGTGTGGGGACCCTTGGGGATGCGTTCGGCCGTTCGGGCCGAACACGGAAAAAAAAA